GACAATCCAGAAGTTTGTGATTCTTTCCTAAGCTTGTACAAGCCTCTGCATGGTCCTTGTGGAATGTTGTATAGGGCACAGGAACACGTCATCTTGGATGACTGCAGTCACTCTCAATGTGTTGCTGAACTAGGCAGGTTTCTGTGTGTAAGAATCAATGGCAAGTACCAAAAATTTGTCCCAGCCAGAACATACCCAATGATGATGAGCAGCAAATGATGGATCCCTACAGTATCTACAATTTGGTGACAAAATCTACATTCACACTGAAAATCACCAAAGTCATAGCAATCTCTCGAAAGGGGATGCTCTACCCTTACAACATGGCCAATGACCCAGATGCAGCTATTGTGTTAGACTTTGGTAGAAAATCTTTGCCTGATGAAGTGTGGCATATCATTGCACCTTTCTATCCTACAATGAGTGATATGGTTTTGGTCAAAGGGGAGGAACCTCGACCTTGGCTGGCTGAAATAGTTGGCATTCAAGAACGGGCAAAAACTGTGAAGGTGCTATACTATGAAGAGGACCTTTCAGGGCCTGGGCATGATTTGTATGTGCCAATGACCTCAAGGCTAGCTTACGATTATGTGCCTTGGGATTCCATCAAAGGTTTAGCTTTAGGAGACTGGAACAGAAGTGTATGTGAATTGTATTAATAACTTTATTTAACCCTCCAACCATGGAGGTAGAGTTGTCTTGGATGTGGGTTTATGAAGATGACCTTTGGCTTAAGAGTGAAAAGTTAAAGGCTGTGCTCTGTATATACTTCTTAGTTACATGAATGAACATATAAAAACCTGAAATAAAGGTAAAAACACATAAGACCTGACTCCTTACCCAACTTATTGTGAGGTTTCATAAAGTTGCATATTAAAAACTTACGAAGGTTTAACAGTGCAGAAGGCGTAACTATGGAGTAAGACACATGTGAGAGACAATGCAATGGACATAGTATCAGTCTTAATGCCATAAAGAGAAAGTTCATTTTTCCTTCTTGAACATATGAAACTTATCAATAGTAGTACACTGTTATTAATGGAGTCAACAAATTGTACATTTATGGGAATTTAGATTTAGTCACTCTAAATACTACCTTTGGAAAGAACATTTTGCTCTGTCTGGGTTTTGCGTATAATCCAGTAATGGGTTTTGGATTATCACTAAGCTTAATAACAGTAATGGAATTACAACAAATCACATGTTATTGCAATGATGGGAATTTGAATTTTTAGACCACTCTATTTGCCAATTTTGGAAATTTGTTTTTTCCCATGACCATGTTTTGTTTGATATCCAATAATGGATTTTACAAAATACATTCAGAGGAGTTCCCATCAATGGAAATTATGGTATTTTGCATTAACAGAGCTAAATTTACATTAATGGAAAATATTAACACAGTGGAAATTGCAGTTAAAACCCATTAATGGGCTTTGTCATAGAATGGGAATTTGTAAATTTCCATCATGGGAATTGTAAATTCCAGTCATGTGTTTCTGGAAAATTTTCTCGTGTATAGGGCAAGCATCAGTGCAAAATGCATCCAAAGAAACTGGTTCTGAGTCAACAAAGAAAGTTTTGCCATTAAAGACATTTAGGAAGTTTGCCCACCACGAGAAATCAGTGCGTAACTGTTTTGTAAGTCGGGTTTGGTGGTGTGGTCGCAACAATGTGTTCATTACATTGATTACACACCACGGGAATGCCCAGCCTCCAAAGACCACCATAGCCACAAAATTTATTTGCCGACAAGGCTTTGCAAATCTTGCTTTGTGATTAACTGCCTTAATAATGTATCGCTGAGTAATTCATGCAGTTTGCATAGTTTGCACTCGGGCAAGCAAAGTTGCCTAAGCACTATTGATCACTATTCCAAGAAAAGTTAACCACTAGTGGGACCAATTGTTTTTTCCCAGTTTATCATAAATCCAAGTTCACTCAAAAGGTTGATAAGTTCATTGTAAGCCAGTTTGTGCTCGTATCTGCTATCGCCAGTGATAAGAAAGTTGCCCAGGTAAACAAAGATTGTGTTGAATCCCTGCCGGGCCATCATTCGTGTGACAGCTTGTGTTAACCTGTTAAAGATCTCAGGTGATTTTACGGCCCCAAAGGGAAGTTTGTTGCCATACAAATATGTGGAATGTTTATCACCCTGAAATTGCCACGCAAGACCAGTGGCACAGTAGTTCGATGGGTGTATTGGAATGTGACAATAAGCACTCTTGAGATCGATTTTTGCAAGATAGCCACTTGGCTTAATCTTCAATACCGCTTTTTCAACAGTCACGTAAGAAAAGTGTGCGTCGTGGCATAGGAATTGAAATTGGAGTGCTGTGGTCTGCTACAATCATGAATGAGCCGGATTTTGTCAGTGTTTGGTTTGGGGATAGCCCCCAATGGACTAATAATCGTGGGCCTTGCTTGTATTACCACGTAATTGCAATTGCTAATTTCCTCACGAATTTGTTTCTCTACCTTATCATGCACATCGCTTGTGGTCACTGATTTGTAATTGCTTATTTCCGCCTTTTCTAAAATGCTATTGCTGGGGATAATCTGAAAACCGTTTGTGAGTCCATTTGTGAGTCCTCTCAGGATTACTTTCAAGGTTCCGTATTCAGGCCTGGTGATTCAAGGGGGAGGTGATTGCCGGTGTACTTATTCACTGTCACACAGTAGTGGTTGTGTGATGCTCATGCTGTGGGTGTCCTTGATGACAGTTTGGCACCAAGCAGACGTGCTGATAATGACAGTTAGGCCAATGACATCCTGTAAATAGGAGTGGTGAAGGATTCTTGTGGTTGGCGGTTTAGGCGTTGAGGGAACTTTCTGCCAGTTCATTGCCTGAGCGCCTGGCACCAAAGGCCAATACCTAACAAGAAATTTTGTGTGTAGATGCTGGGAATCACTTCCCCATCGAAAACCATACTCGCACTGTAACTTACAATATTCATTGTTGTACACGACTACTGAAGCAAGAGTGTGAGACTCACAGAGCTCAGCAAATTTCACAGTGTATGCCAAATAATCAAGAATGTCAGAAGTGGTCACCGACAGCTTTCCGGCTTTTAGGAGCTCGTGGATAATTCGCAAGTTTGCGGCAACCCACATTGACAGGGTAATTTGTTCCAATCTTGGTTTTCCTTTTTCCGCATGGAGAACAATCTTTGCCCCACTAGGATTGTTTCCAATTTCTTGCTCTTCCTCACTATTGCCATATGTTGCCAGGTTGACAAAGTCTGGTATTAACAAAGGTTTCTAACTTTGTTTAGTGCTCTCTTTTGTTGACGGCCCAGAAACATCAATGGGTCGTTGTCCAGTCGTGATAGGGTGGACAAGTTTAGCGTTACTTGCAACTTGCCCGACCTGCTGAGGTTGGTCGTTCTGAAGGCCAAAAAAGAGTCCTCTAGTGATCCAGCTCTTTCAATCTTCTTTAGGATTTCCTCAAGGCTGCCATCTTTGGCCAGGGATTTGGTCGCCACTGTAATGCCTTTGTTGCTCATCGTTTCTGTCCCTCCTGTCTGCTTTAACTTTCTCAAAGCCGCTTCAAAAACTCACTTCCGGCCCACACTTAGTTCTAGAGCTTCTGTATCATCTGAGGTGAGGAGTTTTAAGGCTTCCTCACAACCAAAGTCCTCTGTTTTCAAGGTCTTAATGGTAGTTTCCTTTAGTTAGCTTCGCACCAAGATTTGAATTCAAATTCTGACATTTCTTAGGCTTATAAAATAAATTTTACAATGCTACTGCTGCACGTGCTAGCTTGCTAGAATTGTAATGATGACGTTACACTCAGCTTGCACAAATATGTACATGGGCCTGACTGGCATTTCCGTAATATATATTTAATCCTAATAAACAGGTTTATCACTCACATAAAGGGAAAGAGTTTCCTCCTCAGCATCAAAATGGCATTCTCAAATGGGATTGGTTCACCTCCACTATTTGTCATGGATATATTTAGCCACATTATATCTTCAATAGGAACTGCTGGATGCTGATACAACACTTTTTTTAATAATGTCCATGTCAGAGCTATGAACTTCATCGACATGACCACATACTGCCACCTGTGGTTCCACTTCATATTGCCATACTGGGCCCCTATGGAGACACAGCCACTTATGTCCAAACTGGCTGAACATGGTTTCAAGCCATGAAGCATAATGTTCTTTCATGCCAAGTTTCTGTGTTCTATTGCATGCAAAGAAACGTATATTACAATCAAGCAAACTGTAGGGCATACAATTTAGATCCATTCTTGGTGCAGGACCTTCAAAGCATTTGCTCAAGGAATAAATGAGGTTGTGTTTCTCTCCTTTATACAATGTTTCCATTGCCTGTACACTCTACAAATTGCACTCAAAGGTAACTTTAAACAAATTGTTCAGGATGTGTGAATGTAGCCTCATAGACTTTGAACTTTTGATTATTGAGAGAAACTCCTTCACCACATCGCCAACACTTCAGGTATGAGGAGGCTGTGTCGGGCAGCTGAAGATGGGTGAAAATGAGACATCTTCTGGAATAAGCCTTGGAGGTTGAGTGTTGTCACAAGTTACTTCAGAATTTCCAGACTCAAGGACATAGTCAATGTTGAGTGCCTCTTCAGCTTCAGACAAAGACTTCAACTCTTTTATTAGATGTTTTTTGACTCTTGAGGGACAGGATGAACCTTTAAAGCACGAGAAATACACAAAAATTACTCCGATGATTGCATAAACTGGCACCACATTTGAATGTATACAGTGGATTTATCGACAGAAACATTGTCAGTGGCTTCTGGAGAGCATGGAGTGTAGCAGTGGTGGTGTATAGTGGCCCATTGTTATCATAGGAAAATCAGCTAGAAATGCTTCTTTTATTTAAAAAAATATAAAATAAGAA